AAAAAAAAATCCACGAACACAAGTTGAAACTTATAAAATAGACCACAACTCTCTCTAAATTTAAAGCTTATAAATAAGACTTGGGAAGTATTTAATGCTTATTTTTTAATCTAATTCTTATTTAATTCTCATTGAAAAGTGAGAAAGAAGGTAGAAATATGTGAATAATTTGTAAATATAGAAAAAAAATTTTAATAGAAGTAAAATCGACAAATTATATCAATTTAATACATTTCTTAGTACGTGAGAATGTGTTATGAGTTAATTATATTAAGGATTAGAGTAGTATATACCACATCATATTATTAATATAAAAGTTAGAAATATATGTTGAATTTCTTAAACTGTTATCTTTAATCATATGTATAGGATTATCTCTTTATGAAAATATCTAACAATCAATAAGAATATTTTTTAAAAAAATTATAAATTTAGTAAATAAATTAACTTAAAATATTATATTTAAGATTAAATTTAATCCTAAGTAACTTTTATATTAAGTTAAGAAGTAATATTTAATATACTCTTCCGGTCCTAATTATAAGACCCAATTGACTTATTTGAGGAGATTAAGGAAGTAAGTTAAGTTGGTTATTTATAATAAATAAGTGTTGTCATTCCTAAAATATCCTTACTAATTAAGTATATTGGCTAAAACTATCATTATTAGAAGGATTATCTTGAAAAAAAATGCATAAATATAAGAGACAAAATGGATTGGGTCTTATAATTAGGACCAAATAAAAAGTTAAATTGGATCTTATAATAAGGACAAGAGGAGTATATTTTTATGGGAGTAATATCTAATATTACGAGTTACGGAGATAAACATACCACTCCCGAATGTTTTATAGCACAGGTGCTAATAATGATGCTGATTTGACGTGTTTGCTTTTATTTCGCTTACTAATAAATAATTGAAGGTGTACCCTTTTACCTTGCTTATGATTTTGTTTTTTTGGAGAATAATAAATAAAGATTTAAGAAATTTTTAAATCCCAAATCAGATTTGTTATCACATTTTTTAATAAGTTTTGGCAACAATTATTTGCAAATAACAATACATTTTTGTAAGAGTATTTAATTTGAGAATTTGTAATTTTTATGGTTATTTTTTGTTATTTCCCCTTTTTTTTCACCTTTTTTCCCGGAACCTGACACTATATAAAATTGGATTTTTTTTTTCAACATAAAATTGGATTTCCTTATTTGTTTAATACTTAATTAAATGAAAGGGCAGCAATAAGATCAGAAATAAGGCTGTTTATAGATTGGATTTGATTTGGTTTGGGCAAAAATCATACCGAACCAACCCAATCCATTCAACCAAAACACCCCGGATACCGTAGTTCATAGCCACGTGCTCTAATCCTCTGAGCTACAGGCTCCACCCCGTCTCCACTGGATCTATTCCCCGGAGTACCCTAAAAAAAGGGAACCTTTCCTCTCCCCAGTCATTTCGGCTCTATTACTCACTACATCAAAAAATTTCCATGAATGAAAGATGTAAATCCATTGGAAAATCAAAAATACGTATGCCGAGGTTTTTGTATTTTTGTACCCAAAAAAGGTTGATGGATTTTATCATGAAGTCCCTTTGGAGCAGTTTAGATCCTGCTTAAATAATAATCCTCCCATCCTTAATATGATTTAATTATTAAGCTACTTTGATCCTAAATATAATGTCTATTTTTAATATTTGTTATTTTTTCTAAATTATCTTTATGGATATTCTTGAAACTATAATTAAGTAGAAGGGGAAGGAAGGATATTAAGAAAGATGATTATAATGTTTTAGAAAAAAATATGTCATATTTTTTATAGTTAACTAACTTACCTAACTTCTTTAATCTAATCAAATTAGTTAAATAGTTCTTATATTAAAAAAAAAGTGACTACTTTCTTTTTTTCATAAGGTCTATATTCAATTTTTTTGGCCAAGAATATATAAACCAACCAACGAAGTTAACTACAGACAGCCTTTCCAAGTTAACTAATACTACCATTCGCATCACTTTCTATTATTGTAAAATATAATAACGTATTATTGTAAAATTTGAACTTCAAAGTTGAGTTAATGTTAATTAAAAAAATAATGCTTAAGTTAATGAGTTGATTAATCATTTTAATATTCAATTCAAATGATACATAAAAAATTACTTCCAAGCATCAATAATACGCATTTTTTGGACCAAAATATTGCTAATATGAATGACATAAAAACATAATTGGGGAATAAATGAGTCACAAACGTATAGCATAAATTAATCAATCAAAAGATTTGTTAACCATTCACATTTTCAATCATTTCGCAACAGTTAACGCGGTGAAAATCAGTAAT